GGCAGTTATTTCTCCACCATTCATTGCTTTCAACTGGGCCATTAAAAATATATCTTGTTCGGATCTAGAGAGAGCTTAAAACGCTTCACGTAATTCGGCAAACCCTTCTCTCGTAATCTTTTTTGAGCAATCGCAGTTGCAACCTACATTTAAAAAATGTACTGCTTTGTCGTATTCGGTAGAATAATTATATTCATTACTTTTCATATATGGGTAATCCTATATATATAAATTTTATTTCCCCCGAACTCTTGACTTTTCCTTTTCAATCGGAAAATCGGGGCGCAACCCAAATATGGTATATGCAAGAACGTGACAACCAAATGCAGTATATGACTTTGATTACGAATAAAAACACTAAGTAACAGAAAAATATTATAGTGATGTTAAGCCTCAGAGATTATGGTGAGTGATGAACATGACTATTATTTGTTTATTCACATCACAACAGTCATTCAGTAAAAAAAGGCAATTATGCTAACCTTGAAATATGTCTGGAAGCAAATACTTATATTTGTAATCATTATGACTAAGAATCCTAACATTATCTTTTTTCATAAGGCTTGCATCTTGCCACACTTTCGGTAATAGAAAGCACTCAAAATAACATCAGCTCATTTTGTTGAATTTCTCTTTGTTGTAATGTGCAACTGCTATTATTATTGATTAGTGCTTGTAGTCTGAAAACACGTGTGCACAGCTATACATTAACATGAAGAGACATAGAAGTAACGAAAAGCTTCTTTTTCACAAAGACAATTGCAGCAGTTTGGATGCAGGCCACTAAACGACTTCCTCCAACGCCTATTCACTAATTCGGTGCTTCTTATCCATCGTACTCATACTCACCCATTTTTCTGTATCTTTCAATAGCCAAATGATTCGACCCAAAATCTTACCAATACTTTCCCTCAATCTGTCAGTGCTCCACTCGAGCGAAGCAGGCTTATCGGAATGAATCTTAAATTTCTTTTTGTCCTCATCCATAGTACATTCGACAAACCACCAGCTTTTGCTATCTGTGACGATTCCATATACCTTACCAACAAACTGGTCCTCCATTTCTGAATGCTTGTGCTTTCTTCGGTTCATTTCGAGCGATGCAACGACCTGCATGAGGGCCTGAGCCATACCCTGATTGAAAAGTTCATTTTTCACTTCGACAATGCCGACTATTACATCATGCAGCTGCAAACAGTAACCCAATGGTCCACAACCATATTTGCCTTCAATATAAAGCTCAGGGTGTAATGTCACTCTCCCATCGAATAACGCCGCTGCTGTGACAAGAAACGGTGAGACATACTCTCTGCAAGATGGCTCGTTGATGTTGACAAGTATCGTTCTTTGTCAAAACTCCAGGTCCTTGAATAGATGGTCCAATAGTTCCTGTTCTTTCGAATCATGGAGGTCATCGATGCCTACAATACATAATGATCAATTTTTTCTTATATACAAGATGATAAAAAATGCACACATACCACAGTCAAACTTGGGCAAAGCTTGGTATGCAGAAGGCAGTCCAAAGATTTCACAGACTTTGTCAAGCCTCCACTCTGAAAATGGTTTTTGTACAGTCTCTAGCTGAAAGTTTAGCATGAAGTTTGATTTTGATACACACATCTTCAGAAACTGCTGGAAGTCCTCGTCTTCCTCCCCAATTCCAACATAGTCATCCACTTTCTTATAACAAAGTGTCATATCATCAGGAGTCATGTCCGAAGGCAACTTGAGAAACCTGTGGACCTTTCTCTTCAAATCTTCATTTGTCACTGTGTGGAGATCAACAGCCCAAAGGAAGGTTGAGCGAAATTTTCCGTATAATACTTTAATCTCGAATTCTATATATCAGACTCACTGATTAACATAAGATTGCTTAAATCTAAATGCATGATTCAATAGAACACACCTTGATTTGAATCCTGCAACTGTGCCAACTGTGCCAACAACTCTTCTGAAACCAGCGAGATAGGTTCGATAACATAAGACGAAGGTGTAATGAAAAGGAAGCATTGTCAGTAAATAGCATATCAAGATTGCCAATTCGATGGAAAAAATATATATGACAAATTACAACCCAGATTACTTGTCTACTCCGCCCCAAGTACACACTACTCTATGTCCCCAATGCCCGAGTCACAAAGTCATTACCTGTCTGGGGAGCTGCTACAAGTGCCTCTTGGCACTTTCTAACATCGTCCCCACACTTCATAACCTCCGTCTGCAGCAGCATCAGCCGTCCCTCCAGCTGAGTCCTCTCCTCTTTCCATTCTGCCCGCTGCGCCTCAGTCCCTTCATTGCTCCACAGTCTCCTCTTCAGCTCGGCCAACCGCTGTCCGTCCTCACTCTCAAACTTCTCCAACGCCCTCTTGGCATCATTAGACTCCCTCTCAGCATCATTATATAGTTCTTGTGGGGTTTTCTTGATAGTTGTCATTCTTTTTTTCGTTAGTAGAGAGAGGAATATGAAATTTTTATCTTCGAAGAACAACTCCGCAGAAAAAGACCATTGAAGCAATCCAATGTTGGATCGACGAAGAGAAGAAAGATGTAAACTACTCAGATGGGGAAAATAAAAATGAAGTAGATGATAGTAGTAATACTATTACTAATAGTGATAGTAAAGAAGATACTGAAATTTAATTTGCACCAGAGTGACCAAAGAATAGGTTATACTCATAAACGGCTTTGGGTCTGAGTATTTTCCTCCCATGCAATCACTCTGGTGCTTTTAACATTACTTATATTTTCAAGAGTGCGCATTTCAATAATTGAAATAATAAAATTTATGCTTACAAAAAAATTGAAATATTTTTACGTTGTTTGACGTTTTTAATTTAATGTGTCAAAGCTCAATGGATGTGCTTAATATTAAGCAGTTTTTTATCCTGACTATAAAGAACAATTTTTCGTTTATTATTATAGGTTGTTTGATCAGTGGAGGCCTTTTATGTTAACCTGACTTTCCTTTACCTTTCTTCAAGTTTTCGTTTCTTTCTTGGTTTATCATGCATTGGTGTTAATGCTCGTTTAGTAGTTATGATTTTCCGTTCCTCTTGATAAATTTCATAAGTGATTTTTTTTTTTGATCTAGATATTCCTGGAGAGTTTGGGTATCATTGATTTTGAAAATATAGGGTGCAATTTTCTTTCCTTGAGCTTTCTTTAAAATACTTCTAATGGTGCTGTAATTCTTGGGTTCCATGGTGGATTTAATGTAAATTAGTTTCATATTATAATTTTATATAGGGATAATCCTATATTAATCATGTTACGGTTTATATTCATCACATTCTGGTATGATAAAGTGAGCATTAAAATTAACAAGTCCATAAGTTATGAATGAGCACAATTATTACTTTTCAAAACGTCATCAGTCAAATTAGTTAACTTTCAGCCACACCAGCCCCTCATTTATAGAATGTTCACTTTGTCTGGTTTTGTTGCAGCACGCCCCATATCCGCATCTTATTCTCGTGGCATTACAATTGTTATTCGCTCAAGGTTTGAGTACTGTAGATACAACCCATAGGCTTCCGAATTAATCCCGGAAGGAAATAGTCCTAACTCGAGGGCGAATAGCCGGAATGGATTAGTGTCTACCGATTGACACTAGCTCGTGAGTAGTAAAGTCTAGTTTTTAAAGGTCGTTATACTTAACCAGAGTAGGAGAAACCACAGCTCCGCCTGAAAGATAATTAAATCCCAAGAGTTGACGATCGAATGTTTGTTGAATTGACAATGAGATTTTCCCCCCTGATAACAATGAAATCGCATTTTTAAATATAGTCGCTTATTAAGACCGTTTACATTAAATAAGTTACTGCAAGCTCAGCAAAAGAATCGTTGCTAGTAACCAAATAAGTTGGCTAATCATTATGTACTGAACAGCCCTTGCTAAAATTTCAACGCTATTAAACTTTTTTTTCCTTTCTTGATACAAAGGAATAAGAAAAAATCACAAGGAGCAGGATCTGGACTATTACTATATCGAAAATTGGGAAGAAGGGTTACCTGTTACTTTTGGAGATATTCAGTCACTTATGTAGTCATTGACATCTGAACAGGTTTTTTTTTCCATATTGTTCGAAAATACTTCTGTCAGTATACTATTTACATAAAGCTTTCACTGGGGTCGTCAGCTATTTTCGTGTCTCCACACCGTGTCATGTGCTACTTGCAGAGTGGAAAAAGCCAAGGCTAATAATAGTTATTAGAACGTGCAAATCAGTTAGGCCCAAATTGTGATCATATCTAACTGGGTTATTGGTTCGTTTTCTCACTAAAGCCAACGCTCCTCAGTTGACATTAAGTGCGTAAAATTATGATTTACGATTATTAGTTAATTAAATTGCTCAAAATAATCAATAAACTATAAATGTTTATTTTAATTGGTAATGCGATTACTAGCACACCGAAATAAACAACGAAACAAACAAATAGTTAAATATAAGATACATGAATTAATCTATATACAAATACCAAATTCCCACTTTCATATTAAATTTGGTCGTTCTCGATTTCCGCCGTATCATTCTCAGTTGTATCTGCATCTCCGCCAGACTTGCTGCGACATTTTTTCACAGCAAAGTCAATCACTTTTATGAACATCACGGCAACCAACAATATAGAAATAATGCCTTCCAATCCGAGCGCAACAAGTTTAAAAATACTATTTGTGCATTTGCTCAAGCCTGGATACAACAGGACCATAACCGCAATCCTCAGAAAAGATATCAATATATTCAATGCGTTCATCAAGGTTATCATATAAGGCTTAAAAAGTAACAGCGCAATGAAGTATAATACTTCGACAATCATCAAGTAGATTGTTTGTGCGGCACCGCTTGCACGAGCAGCTCCGATGCCGATAGCTCGAACCACGTCATAAGCAGTCGTGAAAATAAAAAACCAGATGCGTGTCTTGCTTGGATCTTTATCACTCTGATACTGAGTGTAAAAAGCGCCGTAAACGAATTCGTGAACTGGAGTCTCGAATGCATCCGGATTATAGTACATATCCCGCATGATTCTGAATGTACAAAAGCCTATGGTACCAAAAGTGAACAATGCAATGCACAATATGGCAAGAAAAAGCAAGAACCAGCAGTCGAAATGAAGCGTTAGTTGATAGACGGCAAAAAGTGTGAGAGGGCCGTGAAACAGGAGCACCTAAGTACAAGTAAAAACGATTGTGGTCAAATTCAATCAATTCAATCAGTTCAATCAATTCAAAAAGAAGGCCCTATAATCGCATTACCACTCGCAACGCTCCACCTGCATGATAAAAGCAATGTTAGAGAATCTTCAAATGTTATATATCACGTCGTGTTTCACGCATACAAGATTTTGCTTACCGATGACCAAAAGAGGAATGTTATTCCAAGCTTTTTCCAAAATGGGCCACTTCTCCCATTTACTCTTTAATGCACGTGCCACTAACCCACAGAGGAGCGCAGCAAACATCACACACGCCAACACTATACAGAATACGACTAGCACCATAAAGAACATATTATAGCTGGGAATATTTAACATCTCTCCGAAAGACGTGAAACCAGAAGAGAGCGGTTTCAACTCTGGCTTGCAAAATTTTGTCACGGTTAAGCTCTGCACGTTATCAAGACAGTTATTGACCTGCGTGTGGCATATTCCTCCTCGGATCTTGTCATCCGCAATTTGGGACAAGGTGCCGTTAAATTTACTTGAAGGCACAGCGCTAAACCATGCAAGTTTGACCGAAATGTCCCGGAACAAGGGTGGGAGACAAAGCAATGAAAGGAGAGCATTGGTTACGACAAACTGAGCAGCACGAAAAATGTCATATACGGAAGGAATTTGTGCCGATAATGGGACTTCTTTGGCCGGTTCTCTAGACAGGTCGGACGTTTCCTTTTCCTTTTTCTGTTTTTTGGCAACTTTCTTTTTGGCAAGCCCTTTGGTTAACTCTGCCTGCATTGTGGCGATCTGTTGCACCACACTGACTGCAATAGCAATAATTGCACCGACTATAAAAGGAATTGTAGCCACATTTGTGACATTGCCTGACACCGAGGCGGGCCAATCGGCATTGCCAACAGGAACTACGGCACAACCCGTAATATCGTTATTAAACTGATCAAATAGGTAAAACTTCGCAAAAAAGTCGTTATGGGTATTCTCATAAAGTGTGTTAAGGTGGTCTGTGCATATACATTATTGATTAATAAACAAGCAAGCATTGTAATAGATAATGATAATGCTATGAGCCCTTACTTTTGTCGTCAGCAGCTGCTTCATAAGAAAAGATAAATTCAGTGGGAGATCCAAATGTAACTTGACACGACCATTCTTTACCACTGCTACTACCGGTATTACCACTACCGCATGGCACGTCAACAAGTCTCGAACGAGTGTCGTCGATAGGAAGCAATAAAATAATGTTGGGGTTTGTTGACTGACTTATGCGCACTGGGATATTAATAATAATTATTCTTGAAAATATTTATTGGTATGAGAATCGGCACAATAATGTCAATTACCTGTAGCATTACCCAAGTGGTCTAGTGAATTTGCTGCATATAGATGAACAGTTAATTTTCCTGGGGTACTAATGAGGTGGAAGTCATCAAATTGTATCGATCCTCCGCAATTCCTGACGCTACGTGAACGTTGTTCAGTCGGACTGGAGACGGGTAGAAACGGACCCCATCTTTTTTCAATCGTTGCTGGGAGGGCCGGTGATGTAAATGGTTTGACTGAGTTTGCTGTGACTGCTGTCACGTACAACAATACTATTATAAGGCAAATATTAAAACTAGCAGCAAAATTTCTCTGCATGTTTGTACACAAATGGCTGTAGCGAAAGCCAATACAAAAAGTTGAAGCAAGGATAGGTCCTTTTTATGAGAAAATCTAGGTATTATTGACTTGTATGAACCCATTTTCATGGAAACAATAAACCGGGCTCGAAGCACATGATTGTTTCAGGATAAGAAATTTGAGTGTAACAGGTGACCTTTTTTAAATTATTGCGACATGACTAACGAACGCGAGACACGAAAATATCGCAAGAAAAAAGATGCAAGCCCAAACAATCATGCGGCACATAGCGTGAAAAAACTTTGACATTTCTATCAAACGGAAGGCATAGCATAGCAGCAAGCAAAATCGAAACGAGGGGGTCTTTTTCATGTATCAGTATCGCTATAGCTTAATTTGTTAAATGAATGGAGCATCCAAATCGATCAATCTTGTCACACAGCACCACAACATTATGATACTCGGACATTATAAACATTGTCATTAGGCTAAGCTTGTGTTCCGACGGAAAAGGTAAATTTTATTATCGTCCCACAACGATTATCAACCATTGCGCCTTCGAACGATGTCTTGGCTTGACTTCTATCCACCATACTGTCGTACCTTTTGTCCCTCCTTTTTTATAACCATCATTACCGTTAGAAAGATTTACATATAACCAATTTTCATTATTCGAACCATTCCAGATCAGGAAAGTCAACAAGTGCTTGTCAATAAGCTTAAATGTCCAAATTCTTAAGGTACCTTGTATTATTAATAGTCATTCCCCATTTTTCGCATGGATTGATACAAGCCACGATATTCTAATTTATCGAGCAAGCAGTGATGGGTTTTCCTGATAACAATAAAGTATTGCGTAAACCCATTGCAAAAATGGTCATTTAACTCAGTCGTTGCAAATTTCAAAATCACACGAATTTTATACGAATGGCTTCTTGTTCGAGATACGCCCAAAAAGATGCCAGTCCATTAAGAGACATACTGCATAACAGATACGATAGCTCCATGAAAAAACGATTTGTATGGTTTCTGAACTAATAAATGCGATACCAGCTCGCTATTAAATCTTCTCTTCTTCTTACAAAATGGGCGTACTGATTCAGAACAATGGAGAGCCAAGATTGCCTTTGGATTTTGGGATAATACTAATTACTGGAAAAAGAATACGAGAGTACGAACAGGATAATTTCTTAAAATGTAAATTCGAATAGGAAATATAAATCAGGTGATTAAAGATTGCGATTTGTTTATCCGGATATTAACATTAGTAAAGGGATTGTTATTTTCCTTACGAATCGAAAAATGATTTCTTAATACTCGAATCATATATGAGGGTTTTTGCATTATAGTCTTATTTATGTGTTCGCTCCGCAATAAACATATTACGTATAATTTTTAGAATAACAATCTGCAAATTTCTTTATTGATATCCAAAAGCGGTCGTTCACTGCTGCAAATATTTCGTTTATTTTGTGATCTGGCTAAAGATGCTAAAAAGTGCGGATTGCTGTTCCAAGAAATTTTTTTATCGATGTCTAAAAAGCGGTTAAATACGGTTAAAAGCGTGCGGATTGCTGTCCCAAGAATTTTCATATACTATTATATTATCTCTATTAAATCTTGGATATTCCTTTTCATAACATAAAACGGGAAAACAAATATATTATCCATAGTAGCAAAAAAAAAAGCTTTTGTCAAATAGAAATGGTATCTTCACCAAGCATACAAGACAACACACCATTTGCCTCGTTTGAAAGCCTCTGCTAAATGATCAGAAACAATTTACACTGCAAAACGCAGTTTATCACTATTATAGTTTATTACAAAACGAAAACCATGAGTTAGTAAGGCAACTTCAAGAGATTAAATTGCCGTTGTTATTCGAATAATAACAACGCGCATATGAGTTTTGCTTGCTCCACAGAGGTATCGTTATTATTTTTTCCGGCTACACATTTAGTCAGGTTAACACTCTTACATAACGACGCATCATCATTCATTCCCGGCTAAAATAATTATTTCGATTGGAAGAAAATATCTGTATTGGCTATGGAAATGCGTAAAATTTTTTTTTGCGATACCTCGCATTTCGAATCAATTTTTTATCCTCAACGACTTCTTGAATAACGATGCAAACATTGACTCTCTTTCACTTAACATCATTGGCTTAGTCTTTGTGTTGGTCTATGGTAATTAGTATTCGCCACGGAACGCACAGTGAAGTCAACTACGCGGAAAGACTCGCTTTGCTTAATATTGAAAGTTTTATGACAAAAGTTTAACGATGCTTCGTTATACATTAAATCTGTCGATATTATGTTTACGAGTATTTATAATCAGAGACGAAATATTCATAAATTGTTGCGAACGGAAATCTTATTACGACAATATTTCCTTTGCTACATAAAAATGGAAATAAAAATTGTTCATAAAACAAAGTAAACTCGCTGGTCAAAAAGTAATGAAGACAGAAAGTTTCACGTTATACAATTTATTGAAGAAAAATAATGCAAGAGTAAAGAAGTAGATAAAAAAATCATGTTGACGTATCGTTTAGTAATACACAACATAGTACATTAAATACGTCCTTGTTGCTGGCTGATCTGTCTCGAGTGAAGTTTTAATACCACCACTACTCAGTTCTATCTAAGCAATTTACAAAATTCATTGCAATTGTATGGCTTATTGCTCGCTTTTGAAAAATCAGAAGCTCAAAAATCAGCCGAGGAAGAAGCTAATTTTTAAAATATACAGTGCGCGAAAAAGTAATTAGAATAAAATGCATCGTAATAAAATTCAATTTTGTTTGACATATTCAACCAAGTAAAAAAAGTGTATAATACGTTAGTAATACTATATAATACGTGACAAGACTTGTTAGATAACGCGACTACGTTTTGTTGTACGACTTCACATTCAACACGCGATGACTAAAACCTCACTTAATCAATATGACGTTTTTATGGGAGACTGGCATGTATGATGTTGACACTTTGTACAGATTGACTTCTATCCTCTTTCCACCGTACACAAATATTCAAAAACTTGAAAATGATATGTCTCTGTCCCGATCTGGCAGATCAAGAAAACTTTTACCTAAATAGCGTCGGCATCTTGGTCAGCTTGTCTAAGGAACCAATACTTTATGAGCACTGAACTCGAAAATATTTTCATTATCCTAACTTAAATGTTAGTGATCGGACAGTACTCAATGAGCTTTATAACATGTAATATTGCGTCACAATTCTAAAATCTATTCTGGTAAAACACCCATAAATTGGAGGCAATAATTGCAAGGGATGGTTATACTAAGTAAACTTGTTTATCATATCAGTATACACGCAAATTTTGTACACGTTTAATCCGTTCTTGTTGTGCTATAAATAAACCCGTCATTCTCATTATTTTTTTCGCGCACTGTATATGATTCCCTGAATGTCAACTACGATTGACATTTTCTCTGACCATACTGGTTAAAGGCTTGCGATTAATGCCCTAATGCCGATAGATTCATTTACCCCACCATTTTTGGACAAAAGGTCACTCAATACAAGGTTCCAAATAATTTGTCTATCCGCACCAAAAGTCTATCCGCCACATTTCATTCGGCATGATCAACACAGAACTTGTAACACCATAACAAACTTCAGTGAACCCTCCAATGCACGCTACCAAGCTCGGGAGTTAGACGTAAATGCACACCCTCCACATTCTGCACCGCACGCTTTTTTCGAAGTCCCATAATAATAAAACCTACCCTCTCTAAATGCACGCCCGTAATTTACACGTGATGTTATATAGCGTTACATTAAGAAATTTACATATCAAATGTGACACTTACTGCAAACAAAGGGAATTACTGCTAAATTCGATTTGCGAAAATTCTTCTACATTACATCCACCAATGACTATACGACTCATACGCCAACATTAGAAGAGCTTGCTCAGTTACTCACAACTCTCGACCTTCCTGACAATATGTCAGTTGAAGATTTAAGGAGTTTTTGATGAAGATCATACTAGCAGTGAAGAGGCTGATGGTAGTGCTGGGCCCTAATCATTAGCGCTAATGAAACTTCAAAAAGCTTAGAAATCTATGCTCTTTGCAAGTCTGAGCGTGAGAGATTGTTTAAACATGTCAAAGCGCTTGACCAGTGTAATAGTTTAATAAAGTCAATTACAATTACAATAATTTTTTAAATAATAAACCAATGATAATTCTGATATCACATGAAACCAATCAGATTCTTAAATGCTCACATGAATACATTTCCCGCATTTCCCGCATTCTCAGCATTTCCCGCATTTCCCGCATTCTCAGCATTTCCCGCATTTCTCTCATTTTCCCCACATTTCCCGCATTTCTCTCATTTTCACCACATTTCCCCTGTATAACATGGGTCCGTTTCACTAATGTGGTTCTATATTAATATAAATAAACACATACGCCTTAAAAACTTGCAAGCATTGATCAATTATGACCAGTCTCAATGTCAGGCCAGAAGACTCGGAGAAAACTATAGTATGCGATACCATAACATTAAGCGAATGGGTGACTGGACGCAGCCATTCTTATCCCGAGTCAAGTAAGTAATCACAACCATTTAATCCTAACCATCAAAACCATTCTAATATATCAATGTCTAGACCAAGTAGTGGCTCACAGGGGAATAAACGTTACGCTACCACTACAGGTTTCAGCAGAATACACGATCCAAACGAAATTAGCGTCAGGCACATTTGGGAGCGTATTCTATGGGGAAAAAAAATCGACAAGTCGCCCAGTGGCTATAAAAATTGTTGAAGCATCCATGGCAAAAACCGTTTTGTACAATGGGAAAAAAACGCCAAAAGAAGCAGCTCTTCTCCAAAAAATTCCTTTGCACCCGAATATCATTAACCTCATTGACTGGGCAGAAGCATATCCAAAGCATTGGGTTTTCATATTTGAATATCATGGATATGGCCAAGATAAACCCAAATCCACTTTAAGACATTACTTAAGAGATATTGCGAGGAGTAGAGGGCAAGGGTTAACAGAAAATGAAGCGAGAAACATTATGCGTCAGTTACTGGCGGCATGCAGTCATTTGGAGAAACATGGCGTTTATCATGGTGATTTAAAACTGGGTAATGTAGTCATCAATCCAGAGGGTAATATAAAATTAATCGATTTTGGCTTGGCTGTCGAAGTAGAAAGAGGCCTTGGGAGAACGGGGTCGAGTAAGTGTCAATTCCGGACTTGCTATTATTATATAGAAATGTTGTGTAACCGAAACTTTGATTCTGCTTTTCTCAGTCTTTCCCCCGGAGATGTATGACTACTGCATTCCGTATGAACTATCGACAGCACAAATATGGGTACTTGGAGCTGTTTTTTACCAACTTTTTGAAGCAACCAATCCATTTCACGAAGAGCGAATAAAGTCCAAGGCATTGGGGCCAGTTATGTTTAACAGGTATAATCGTCCTTCGAACGAATGCGTAGAGTTAATAGATTGGATGTTGAAGGTAGAGCCTAACCACCGACCACAGTCTGTGAATAGAGTCATTTCGCATGGGTGGTTTGGGTGCGTTTAGAGCTGGTCTATGGCTTTGTTTAATTTATATTTATGATCTACGATATTTATTGTTGTTACTAATTATGATCCATGGTCTTGTATTGTTGATAATACATTATAATTTATGATCTATGGTTTATAACTTTATGTTTATTGTTTGGTAAACGACAATTGCATTTTCTTCTTTTATTGTTTTGACCGTCCATTTTGTCATTCAACATTTTCGACGACTTCATCTTATCGAGAGTGACTATGTAGATTGTATCACAAGTAAGAGTCGGTGTGGCTAAAAATTTTCAATTGCCCATTTAATTATAGAGAATGATGTCAAACCGATAATTCACAAAACCGATACGTTTTCAATTCCCGTGCAATTTATATTAATATGTGATAAATTTCTCGTAAAACGATAATACATACCCGATAAAACCGATATTATAAGGTAGTGCAAATTACCGTTATATATGGTACACATCAATATCAGATCATCTCCCAATACCGATAATGCTTACTATTTTATATCAATAATCGGTTTTTCGCGAAAAACTGATATGTCGGAAAACCGATAGAAAAAGGTGAGGACAGCCACATTGGTTTTCCGAGGCTTGACTGTAATTAGTAATTTAAACTAAAAAACCCTCTTTTATAATGTTCCCTGTAACGAGGAGCATTGTCTGAGAGAGAAAAAATTTTTAGTTTGATTTCCGAGTGTGCCATAAAGTATATTGGAAGGTAAAAAAGTATGCATGCGTTCAATCTGAAGCTGTACTTAACCAATTACATCGGTAACTGTTGGAAGAAGCTGTTAATGAATTAGACTTCAAACTTATTTCTGTCAATTAACAACGGTCTGATAATTGAATAAACTAAATACTAGTTTGAATTATCATTCAGTTTCCTAACTGTCTGTAGTGTCGTTCAAATCAACAATTAATTCCCCATGCTTGCACTATGCTGCGTTCCAAATCTTCATTAGAGTCTTGAAGAGAAGAATCTAGCTGTCAATAATTCAATCAGAATGCAAGTTGGTGCACATTGTATATCGCCAATTATGCTCTCCTACAAATAAAAGTTTCCAGAATAAGAATGGTTTTTTTTTATCAACTTAATTTTATCGTTATGTTGCATGACGCCTTTTCAGGTATAATAATAACTTACTAATGCGACCGGTACAAACCCTTGTTTGCCCCTGTTACTCGCAGAAATCAAGGGTTTTTTAAATCCAAATTTGGGTGGTATTGATCGAAAAGATCGGCAATAAACTTAAACTCTACAACTACTGCGCGTTCATATTCACGTGTGCTGATTGATCTCGCTTACATTCTTGTATAATGTCAACACTCCTTCGCCGTACAAAGACAGCTCTCGAAAAGCTTGCCCCGCTATCTCTTGCAGAGCCCTGGGATAATGTTGGCGTGCTCGTCGACCCGCCATATCCGCGTCCATCTGCATCAAAAGTTTTCCTGACGATAGACTTTACTGAAGCAGTCGCTGAAGAGGCCCTGGGAGATGAAAAAGTGGGTGTGGTCGTGGCATATCATCCACCTATATTCAGACCGTGGAAACGGTTGGAGATGGCCGACGTGAAACAAAGAATTATGATGAAGTGTATAGCTAAAGGTCTTGGAATCTATAGTCCGCATACAGCCGTTGATGCTTGTTCTGGTGGAGGTGAGAGGAATGATGCGTGATGAAGCAAAGTTCGTGAAGCAATACTTGTCGGAAGCGCGAGGAGATATCTTGATTGGACGAGAAAATGCTACTAAGAAGCGCATATCATTGTTATTTGATTAGTGAATGATTGGCTGTCTTCAGCATTGGGGTTTCCAGGTGTTCTTAAGCCAATAGTTCCTGCGTCAAATATTCCAGAAGGTAAAAGATATCAATCATTGCGATTGCATCTCGATCGACTATTAAAGCAATACTAGAAAATTGATACCTGCATTCGGGCAAATGATGAGCTACTCAAATGTCTGCCTACGTATTCTCTGCTGCAGGGCAAGAAACAGTTGGAAGTGGAAGAATAATGACATTTCATAAACCTGTATCATTGGATCTCATCATAAAAGAAGTAAAGCAACGTCTTGACTTGAAATATGGTTAGTAAGAAACGGTTAATATTAATATGGTTAATTAAAAGATGGTATGATTTAATTGATTTGATGTTTATTGTAGTTAGAGTTGCGAGAGCCTTGCGTCATAAAGAACCATCATCGCAAAATATATCAACGGTTGGGATATGCGCAGGCTCTGGTAGGTTGATCAAACTAGTGGTTTCGCTTGCTTGATTACGAAACGGTTTCGGGCGCCATACTAATAATTGTGTTGATGACATCGTTAGGTGCTTCCGTTCTTTCTCCTATTAAAGTAGATCTCTATTTCACCGGAGAATTGTCACATCACGAAGTTCTTGCTGCACTGGCACAAGACACCAGCGTGATATTATGTAAGGCACCTAAAAGCATACTGCTTACATGTGTTTTTTTTTTATATCTCGATAGGATCATTCTAGCATAGTTGTTGACCGATTTCTATCAGGTGAGCATTCAAATACAGAGCGAGGTTATCTTACCAAGGTACTGAAACCGCACTTGGAGAAACTGTTGCGCGAAGATGGGGACGATGAAGCTGTTGAAGTTGTTGTAAGCAGCATAGATAGAGATCCTTTGGATATCGTTTGAGTTGGAAAACATGCTTGTATTATGAAGAGGGTAAAAGACGCATTTATGGTACCTTTTGTATAAGGTATATGGATTTTTTCTTTTTCTTTTGATCGCTTCTTATTTTCTGAATTATGCTCTTAATAGAATATCTCTAAACTAGTACTTGTGAATTATTATACAGAGATTGCATAACTTACGCGGAACTTGCAAAAGAAACGACTCTCTTGGATAAATATTAATTATCCTGGTTCTTCTCCTTATCGAAGAACGCCTTTTGCTGCTACTACACCATTTTACGCACACATGAGTCGATCGTATATGTGCTGTTATAGCAACCCTGCCCCAATCTTTACATCCTTTCTCCCTACCCAAAGATAAGTAATTATATATATAAATTTTATGTGTTTATTACTGTTGCAGTACCATTAGTGTTTGTGGTTGTCAATGTATTAATTGTAGTCGTTGTGGTCGTAATAGAATTACTAATACTAACAGTGTTGGTTTCTCGTAATGAGATTAATTTCCCGTTGACGAGAAGCGGGTTTGTCGTAATGGCCTTTGTTGGCGGAGTGGACGCCGAATGATTGCTGTCAGAGGAAGAAGTGTCACTGTTGGCAATTGAGCTAGTGCTATATACTATAGTGCTGTTAACTAGGGTATTAGTGCCCAAAACTGGTGTGTTACTTGCGACTCCGGAAGGATTTAGACCAGCTCCAAGACCGTAGAGATAACCACTGATGATGAATAAGAGATAGATCATGTTGGACGTCAGTATACAAAAGCGATAATGCCGGTTGCAGCTAATATATTCGATAATACATACAGGTATTTTGAATCATCCATTTTGTCATTAAAATACACTTGGCGCATCTTGAAAAAGGTTGTTGCAGTCAACAGACTGTCACTCCCAGCCTGATGCTGAGGGCCAATTCGAGAAACCTATGAATTAATATAAATAATATTGATTTATTAATTATTTAATGACATACACTTATGAGTAGTATGCATATAATCCAACTTGCCTCCAGATCGTTAGCGATTTCTTGCAGACCACATTTGAGATTTTTTAGGCTTGTAATACAATATTTTATGTCGTATATACACGGGAAATATATCCGCAAAAGCTCAAAAAAATCCGTTTCTTCTGCCGGCATAGGACAACATGTGACAACCTTCAACAGATAACCGAAATCATATCCACTTTATAGGAGTAATTAATTGGTACATAAGCTCAAGGAGAATAGAAAGATATCTGCGATAATGCAAGATTATTTCGAAAAGGTCTTTCCTACCTGTGAAAAGATATCCATTTAACATCATCCATTAACACCAACCCCGAACTAATCAACAATTCCGCAAAATGTTCATGATTTATTCCGTAATCTTCATGTTTCTTAAAGTCGATACCAGATTTCAGTAACAAATCGATAGAATCCTGCGCATACATATCGTCTCTGTATAAACAGTTTACAGTGTATTGAGTAAATAACGACATCCAGATAACCCAATGTAACTACTATCCACGCAACCCATCAGGAGGAGATTGTAGAATGTATTGTAACTGTGAAGTTTAATGACTAACATTGCCCACACAATCGCCTCAAGAAAAAGAAAGCAACATAATAAGAGGAAATGATTAAGACCACTCACGCAAGGTTGAACCTGAAATTAAACTGCCATGTGCAGACATCTTGCGGGTAGTTGCCACGTTCATCTGCTAGGGTTATTCCGAGCTGAATAATCTTTAACAAATCCACGTTACAACGTACTGTCTGATAGTGGTAGTTTGAACTCGTTCGAAAGTTGCCAATTGGTCTTGCTACTACACCAGGAAATTCAGTATCCTATAGGATGGATGAACCTACGTATAAGTATTGTATAAAACACACAGTGACAGATACTACAGCCGCGACCACATACGATACCATCGCGAGGTAGGGATATCGTTCTACAAGGTCCCGAAGAGTAGACATCTCCTCCTCCAGATTTTCAGACCACACTTCTCTAATATATTTACTTTCGCTTGCTGGCATATTTATCAATATAAACTAGTAACAGCAGCCCCCAGCAAGATAGAGACGAAAACAACTTTGACGGACAGAACCGGAGAAGTATATTAAAACTCTCACAATCGCACCAAGCTTTGAGGATCTAATCCCGAATGCGGTTACTTGGCGAAAAGCTAGCCGAATGTGAAGTAGTTGTTATATTCACCGACAATACAATGAATGCAAAAAAGACTTTGAAAGGGGTCAAGGAGACGTGATAAATAAGACGAAAGCGAGCCTCAGTGAGTCAAAAACGGCAGGTTTTAGCGAAAGTTTACGTTAAGGTTTGGGGTTGTAATGGAAGTTGGTTGAATGTTCGATGTTTGGGAGCTGCATGATCCAGTGACTTTGGTGTTTGTGGTTACACTAAAAATAATTTATCCAAAAAGGCATATATAAAAGTCAATCGCCCCCAAATCTAATCATTTAATATGGGCGTCTGATAGTGTATTGTTTTTTAACTTTTTTTCTTCTTCTTTTTCTTAATAACAAGACTAAAAGCAACTGCCAGAAAAATATTAGTCCCGAAACTCCAAGGCTAGATAAAGTGAACAACACTTGGCTTTCTCTACGCATCCAGGATATCATTTCGTTATCCATGGTTGTGATATTTTGTTGATTTCCGCTCTCCCTGATTCTTGTTAAACTTGGCATATATATTGCTTAGAATACATACATGCGTGTGTGATCAGTATTAAAACATTGTCAATGGCTCTAGGATGAGGCAAGCAAGTTGGCTCTCACAATAAAAATACGAAAATCAGCAGAATAAATAAGAATGATAACCTGATTCTCCAATTCCGTAATAAGGTCGCCCTTGAAATAATTTGCGATTGAGAACAATGGAATGCTTCTTCGTTTGCATCGATTCACAAGATTCTCAACAATAAAGGATCGCCTACTACAAATTTAAAGCTTTACTAGTATTGAACGTATTGCAGGCTCAGCCATAATGCACAGACACTGTGCCGCCCCCTGTGAAAGAAGCGCAGAGTTCAGATCCATATAATGTTAGGTACTTCAACGCATCTCCACTATTTTATTCCGCTTGTGGATGTGTTCAGATTTGCGGCCTGACAGCGTTGACGCCTCAAACAGATGCTAACATATCTGTAAACCTTCGATAGCATCATTTCTTCACCATAGATGAACTACGTAACTATCCATGACACATTTAGAAGTAGAGAAATTTTCTGATAAAGCGGAGCCATCATCTTGCCAAACAATATTTCAAAACCTTGATAGATTCCCAATTTGTTGAAATGACATAATAATTGACCATGTTCTCCAACAACTTGTGTCGGAACCGGCACGTCAAAACTCCGTTGATCTGCTCGTCCGTCCAGTCCGTCCAGTTGAACCGATTAAGTTGTTCTTGAGATTGATTTATCCGAGCCGATCACTAATAACCGGTACGTGCTGCGGATTCTCACTTATCCTCTGACGTTGGCAAGAACCGTACGTCATATCGGCGGCCTTGGTCTAAAAACCAAGTTTGTCAATAGGAGTCCGATATTCTTTCGTTTTATTCCTCCATAGCATTTTTGTTTCGAAGGAATTATCCGTTTCTCCTATGAAAAGTCTCATTGTCACAAATTTTCGTGGTTACTGAAGCGTCGGTTCTTCCCAGCTGGTAGTTATGAAATTATATTATCGATAATTAGTATGATATTTTTAGGCACATGAGTCAAGTGCGATGCTTGATTCATAGTATTTGAACGTAGAAATATTGTTCGTATGATTACTAATTTTGCTAAAATTTCATCGCTCGAATGATTAAAGTATGAACGTTGGTTATCAGCGAAGTTTCCAGGCAAAATTTGATAACGTGTGCTATCTATTTACATATTGCTCTTACAATCGAACATCGGAAGCATAATATTATGGAATTCATAACATGTGGATTTATTTTGTAATATATTTAATATATTTTGATTTCAGTAATGTAATCTCCGAAAATCATATTGTCAAGAAGTACTTAATTAGTAGAAAATACTGAACATCATGCAACATTTAAGCGTACAGACACACGACAGTCTGTTACAGCAAATTTTATTGTTCACATTAATACCCAAAATACAATAAAGACTATTTCGTGTTTGATTCGCAAATATTTAACGTGCACTAGTAATTATTTGCATTCAATTTTCTTCCTCAATATTAATCTTAACACCCTCTCTCTTAGCCTTGGGTACTAAAATCGACAAGATGCCGTTTTTATATTTTGCTTTTACATTATTATGATCAATTCTTCCCGGGAAGTGAAACAACCTCTGGAAGATTCCGGTCTGTCTCTCATTCGACCAATAGGTTAGAGTCTTCCCTTCACTCGATACCACTGCTTCACTTTGATTCCCACTCGTTTGATCAGCATCGCCTTCTTGTCGTACTCGCTCATTTTTGCCTTTGAGTATTAACGTGCCATCGTCCAAAAATTCCACTTGAAGATCTTCTTTATTCATACCAGGCACTTCTGCCTCAACAATATAAGTAGTCTCGGTTTCTGAGACATCTACTGATGGACGGATAGTTTGTGTTAAAGAAGGGTAGGCTGCCGGAAAGCGACGAGACGTGGTCAAGAGTGGTTCTTCAAGTAATGAAAATGCACGAGCGAGGTCTTGTCCGAGTAGACGGGAAAAAGGAGTGAGAGCCATTGCGGATGTAATTTTTTTTTCTTGCACAGGCGTGGGATGATGAATTGGTTTATATATATATGTTTATTAAATATCTGGAAGGCTCTAGAAAATTTCTAATCTAACGATGACGTCATCGCGGGAAAGTTTTAAATTTCGGAACAGGGAATGTCGTCATGTTGATCGCTTTGCCTTATGTGGTAGTGTCTAAGAAGTTTATGAGAACATATTTTTTGCTAGAAAGATGATAGAGTTTAAAGGTGGTTATTTACTCACCTTGTTGCATCGCTGTCTTAATCACTTGATGTTGTAGTTGATGATTATTTTAGCAAACTTGTGCTCTCTAAATAATTGTAGCAACGTCATTATTAAAGGGTGAGACTTTTGGCGAATGTAGACCTGCAGAATTGGTTTGATGAGTTATAGAAGAAAGTTGTCTACAGGCCTTTATAAGATGTAATGGATTGTTGTCCAGTCTCGTTTTAAGTAGTTACTATCTTCACCGTCAGTCAAGACATGGTCCGTTTAGTCAATGTTGGCCCCCTAACATCTAACGGTATAGTCAGATACAATATTCAATTAGCTTTGTAATTTATTGGCCTCGTCACTCATCTTTGAAAGAGCAATCTAACTTTTCAATGATTATAATACTTTCGCATTGGTGCTTCTCTCTGCGAAATATCAAAAGCTGCAGTCGTTGTTGATTTTATCTGCAACTTTGACATTGGCAGTCCTGTATGTAGTATGGTAATAAACAATATAAGATCTAAAATCCTCACCACAATTTACGTCTTTCAACTGTGGTCTGCATGTCCATTCAATTGTCAGTACCAATACGACAAATACAGATGATGTGATTAGCTTGCAGTTCGTTAACAAGTTCCATTGTAACTATATCTACGCGCTGGCAAGATATAGCTTGTTAACAATCTCTCTTGCCAAACGGATCGGTTGTATTATTTTAAAAAAAAACCCCAACTTTTAATCAATTAATCAATTCCCATCAAAATAGTATCAGCTTCTCGATTTGTCACATCGAAGCAGTAGTGAGAAAGTTCTGGTTTATTTTTAGTCTACTGGGTTTCTTCCATACATCCGAATTCTTATAATTCAAAGTTATATATCTATTTATTTTATTTTCCAATTGTTTTCGGAGTTTGCTTATTCTTGCTAGAATGTTCTACTTTGAATCAAGATAAGTCATATCTTGAAGCCGCAGGTTTTTTTTGTGAAACAATACGCATATTTAAACAATTGCAAATTCTACTCTTCGTTTGCTTTGTTACAATATTAAATTGTTGGATCACATGCAACCAATAGAATTCACCCGCAATCATAATTATGACACACTCTAGTGGTAACACCGTTGCTATGGAGGATTTAGTGTATGATTATGTAGAAGACGGAATAGGGGAAGGCGGAGTAGTTCGTGACGTTAGACGCATTGAAGAAATCGAAGTCGAAGTTATTTGTATTAGCTCAGATGATGAAGAAGAAGAAGATGAAGAAGAAGAAATGATATATACACATTCGAAAACTGCGCAGAATAGTATTGGAAATGTGAGAGCCGGAATGAAACGAAAGCGAGAGGAGACGACGCGTCAAATTTGTAGCATGGAATGTATCATACCTACTCCTATCGGCGAATCTAATAAGCTTCTGGGTGAGAAGCTAGAGTCTTTTATCATTCTATATGCTTCGTTTGCGTTAATATGCTAAAACCCATTTCCATTCTTTATTCAAATCACCCGATTAAAAAAAAAAAAAAAACAACTACCGCGTAATTAATCGTCTTGCCATAATCAACAACTTAACGATCCAATCCTCTATAAGCAATAAGACAAAAGATTCCTGACATTGACAATCCCATTGTGAGAACATTGGCCTTAACCCACCGTTCATACAGCCATCGCGTGGGAACAAATTACGAACGGCTTGAATTTCTGGGAGATCGTGTTTTATCTTTCGTATGTCAGCTTATAGCTCTTTCCCGCCGCACTGTTTTAAAACTTCCTATCAGTGTCAGTAACATAACTACAGCGGTGAATTATCTGGTTCGGAATACTGTCTTAAGCTGCTTTGCTGAGGTAGCGGGATTCAGAGAACTCTGCAGGACGAGGAACACATTGAAAGGCAAAGATCTTGCAGATTTGGTAGAATCTTATGCGGCAGGGCTGTATTTAGAGGGCGGGGTCAATAAAGCTAGAATTTTTGTAGATGCGTTAATGGGAGAGTTGTTAGATCAGTTATTACAAGCCGTTGGAAAAGAGAGGAAGGATTTGAGAAAGTGCTGCGTGAAACATTTCTGTACTCTGTTGCCAGATTTTGTCGTATTTCAGTTGTTTGCAATCGACGGAAGGCATCCGAAGAAAAGTACTGTTGCTCGTAGAGAGCAGTTGTATGGCAAACTACAAAAAAGCATGTTTCATACAGATGACGCAAGTAAGCAGTTAAAACAATTTGCAGAGAAAAATAATATGGAACTTCGCGTATGGATTGGGCAAATAGGACACATGTTGAGCCATGCGACGGTATCGTTGAACGGGGTGATTTATGGGACAGGTACAGATTTAGATTTGAATAAGTCTCTGGATTTAGCAGCGATGGCTGCTCTCGATAAGTTGAGGAGCGAAGGGAGACTTTTACTTTAGGCAAATAGTAATAATTGAAAGAAAGTGAGAGTTGCTCGATTGCTTGATAATAACAAGAAGGATGACGCTTCAGCGGTTGAAGCTGAAAAGTGACTTTAATTCCATGGTAATCCTGAATACAAACTAATAAATATCTGTATTAAATTGCATGTAAGCTTTCATCTATGTTATCAATTCAAAGAGAAATAACAAGTGTACATGAAGGAACTGTAATAAATTGCTATAAATACAACAACACAAATGTATTCATTGGTCTCACCCATGATAAATATGATACCATCATTCTGATGCTACTGTAGTTTCCCTCCCTAATGGGAACTCCACTCTCTTCATCACACACGTCAAACTGGCTCGAAACTTTCTTGGACTGATCGGATACTGCGCAATCCTCAAGAATCAGTTTGGTTTTCAATAAACAGTCCAAAGTCCATTTTCCTCTTCAGAAAGCTGCACTCGTGTGTGCATAGATTATCTACAGACATGTTATGGTGCAAAGCGAGAGACATACTACACAATCTTATCAAAACACATAACAATTGAAATGATAGTACAAAAAGCAGTTATTCGAAAACACTCTTAATTCCAATATACATCTCCATGAGAACGTTTATTAAGTAATTACCTTTTCAGTACTTGCTACTAATTCGCCCCTAGAATCTCTGTTTTGATAAATTCTTGGTGCATAATGTCCATGTTATCTAGTCATATGACAGTTTTTTTTTTTCTCTTTCGCGGCATGTTTACAGGTCCCTTAATTTATTTAGACTTGTTCAACAAACAGTCTTGACATTGTATAAATGGTAATTATTTATATACGATGATAGGATGGACTAGCCATCACATAATTGAGCTAATCTGCATGCAGTCACTACAACGTAGCCACCCACTAGTCATATTAATATATTGCCCGTTGAATATAATTTATACTCGGACACCTCACCCAATGCAAATGCACACCATGCTCAACGTGACTATATATATAATAGTGATACATGGTAACTACTACAAAAATAATAGCAGTTTACAGTAAAGAGAATGTTCGTATAAGAGTGTCTTGCTTATAGGTAGGCGATTGTTGTAAATGAGAGAACGACACTCTTTACTCAATATGCACAATCACTAAAGGAAAGGAAAGGAAAGGAAAGGAAATCACCTAGAGTCGTGACTTTGCAAAGTGTCCTATTATTCAATGTTATCAAAACAAAAGAAAAATCAATTAGCAACACCAGTCACAAATCGATTATCCAAAACCATCTTTTATCATTACACCTCCATTTCACCCCTTTCATCTTTGTCGTCTACACTCACCACGATTCAAAGGCAATCATCTGCAACTCATCCCCATTAACCTCCCCATTTCTACTATCCCTCCCCATTCCTATAATCTTGATTACACTCTGTTTTTATCTCCCTCTTTCTCTTTTTCTCTTTCTCTCTCACTCTGTCTCTCACTCTTGCCCTCTAATTAAATTTTCTTCCACTATCCAAAAACTAAACCAAAATTTCTAATATTCCACCTCATCAATATCACTAAGAGTCTCATCCTCATCCATCGCTCCCTCAGCACCACTCTCTAATTCTCTCTCCCGCATTTCCTCCTCACCATCCACCAAATCCTCTCTCAACTCATCAACCTCCTCACTCATTTCGTCGTCATCATCCACCGGATCGTCCCTATTATCATTGTCTTGCTCATTATCGTTATCAACTTCATCTTCGTTTGTGTTGTTATCAAGATAATTAGTGGATGATGCAAAGTCCGAAACTTCGGGTTCACGCTTGACTTCAATTTCAGTTTCAGATTTGACTTTGTCGTCGTTGGGAAGCGATTGCGGTGAGACGTATGAGGAGCCAACGTAAGAAGACATTTCACGTTCATAACGTTGTTTTTCTTTGTTATACATGTCAAAATATTTCTATATGGAGAAAATAAATTAGGGTTGTAGCATACGTGGTTATAATGTAGCTTACTATAAAGTAATTTCAAACTATTAGGTGACTCTTTTATGTTTATATCTATGGTTTATGTATGGCTGACGCCTATTCGCTCAATATTATGCAGTCTTTCTATCTCACTCATTCCCTTTCTATCTTCATGCATCCCATTCTCCAAAACAAGCCTTACCTTTTTTTCTTCCGGCACCAGATCTTTCCATCTTTGACTGAGGATCCTCGTGACGTCCTGAAACCCCTTATTAGCGTTTTCCTCTTTAGCTTGTTCGCGCTCAATCTGACAGTACATCAAGAAAGCATTTCGCGGACGTTTAGGTGCGTTGGGGTCTTTGTGTGCGCGTCTTCGTTTATTATTTCCTCCAGTTGGCACTTCTTCCGCTGTCCCTTCTTCTGTCTGTAAAAACAGTCGAGACGTACGAAGAACGGAATGATTTAGGGTGAAATTAAATCAATAACGAACGGACTTGAAATATTTGAACGAGAGATAATTCAATCAAGCGACACGGGCGTGATTCTCGAATTAGGGATATGGAAATTCCGGGTATCATATCGAAAAAAGGTACATTACGCAAATAAAATAACAAACAACACAATGTGCTTATATATTGTGCTCTGTCGCAAGTTATGTACAATAACGTTCTCCCCGATTTCATCCTAATTCTCTTTTCAAATTTCTCCATCGCTTTCAAACTTGCGATGCATCTTGTAACGGCTTTTCCGTAAACTCGACCAAATCCTTATGTTCTACACCATCACCCCTCTTCACACCCGTATCATCCTCTTTACTACTAACCGAACTCAAATCATCTTCAGATTCAACTTGTAGTGCGCGAGACGACTGCTCTGATTCAGAATCATTCAAAGGTTGAGTCTGCTCAAGGCGTTCGAAGAGAAAACTGAACGGTAATGGTAAGGGCGATGAGGGAAGTACGAAATTAATAAAATTTTGGAGTGGGAGGGAGGGAGAGAGAAGAAGATAATGAGTAAAATAGTATGCAACCGGTGTGTTGAAAATAAAACTTAAAGAACATAAATAAGTACTGCAAGCTTGCATAAGTTTATTTAGGTTGATAAAAACATTGATTGAAAGTACACTGCACGCAGACTGGTTATTCTTCTACGTACCTTCGCTCTATTCGTAGTCTTTGTATGTTCTTCTTGGCTCTTGTCAACTTTAATGTTATTTTCTCATTGTCCTATCGTCCAATAAAAGGATTTTTAGGTCAATTCACCCAATACTACTCGATGAAATCCGATCTTGCTTCTATTACCTCTTCCATCTCTCTGATCTTTTTTTTCAGCTCTTTGTATTTACGTCGGTATTTTATTTCTGTTTGAAGACAAACTATGCTTAGTTGTTTAAGAAATGAACAAGTACGATTCGAGGACCGTAATGTAAGCTGCGCTCACCGTCTGAGGCCGAGACTGCTTTAAAGGAGGGCTGTTTTAACTTTGACTATAGCAATAGAACAGTGTTGACGTGGTTAGCAGGCTTGTCGAAAGTTCATATGTAAAGCCAATGTGTTGTATGTACTAACCTTGGAAGACATTGTTAACCAGACAAGTGTCTATCTATATTAAGGATAAGTTATGTTTTTAGAGTAGGTTATATATAACAAGAGTTGTTGGTAAGAAGAGTACGTTGATAACGATAATAGTTGGCTTTTATAATAGTACGAGTGGTGGTGACAAATAAAGAGTGTTTTTCTAGTGAAGATAGTTGGAGTTGAAGAGAGAAATGAATGGGTAATTATAGCAGATTGTAAGTGTGAGAGAGGGTGTGACTATTACCCGCTCGTCACTCTGATGGATAACAATGAATCTGGCATGGCAATCCAATTGATTTTCAGTTGATAAATTGTGACATCATTTCCGACATGCGGCACCATGTGGAAGAAATAGTAACAGGTGATATTAATATACGACTGTATTCGGGACACAACCGGACCAAGTAGCAATAGTAATAAATACCACTTCTCGAAAGCTTGGAGAGAATTTGGGTTAAGCAGTTGAATTTTCATCACCTTAAAGACGATACTAATACGTTCTTTAAGCATAAACGAAAATTGTATGTTGTTATTATTATTATAGTTATAAAATCGGAGTTTAAGCCTTATTATTATCCAATCAGTTTGCTTAACATGCCGTGCAACCAACGAGTGATTTTTGAAATAATCATTAAGATTTGTAATTAGGTAGGCACGCAATTAATCGGTCTTGATATTTGGCTTCGGCCTTGGCCTTCTGTCTTGTGACAATCGATGACCTTGTCAGTTCTCGTTTTAATACTGTCTCTCCTATTATTATTATCTGGAATTATACAGACAATTGCAAGAGCATCGTACTTGTACTACATACCATTCATAGAGCATTTGCTATTGTAAAACTCGGCGTATTAGTTAAGGAGCGATTACAATGAACCGTGTATTTGTGAATTATCAAGACGCTTCTTTCTCATCAGAATCTAATTAATTGAACATTAAACTATTTACAACATTAGAATGTTGAACACGATAAGAAGTAGAGAAACATTACTACCACCCGATTTTTAATAAATTACGTTACACTGTTAACCATGCGTCTATTATTTAATCTATAATGCTTTATTTACAATTACTACAAGTAGATTAATGGTGCAATGAGACTGAATGACAGATTGCGAAAATACGTGGATCCAAAGAGTACAGCCTCTCTTTGGTTGCATATCTAAATTCACTATTTCTTTGCTCTATCATCCTCGACACTATGCATTTTTGTCAAATTTGCTATCATCAACTTATCGCGTTTGCTGTTCGTGTCATGGAAGCAACGATTACCTTTCTTTCCTTTTGCGGCGTCGAATATCATTCTGTTTATGAAAAATCTAACGCTAAGATTCAGCCGTTCAGCTGATTCAAATCACCGATACTTTCTTTTATTTGTGATTTCACCGTGTTGTAAAGTCGGCTGCTATGGTTTATATGAAGCCAGGTAAATACCCCTATAAATAATCCGCTTACAAAGTAAGCCTTGATTGTAAAGAGTTATATTATATTATCTTATCGTCTTGTAGAAGCAGCTTTTGTAATAATCTACGTTCATAAACTACGTCATCCTCGACCAAGTACACGATACTTATCTTCGACTAGAATACTCACAAGAGTATCTCCTGCCCGGGTAATTGCCTAAAAATTACAATTGTATAGAATGGTCGGAGACAACTCTCAAGTATATCAACACCACTTCGACATTGTATCAAAGTTCATATATCACTACCCTTCACCATTGACATGTTCATCCATTGGTAAGTCTGTAAACATCGTCGTGCCGTATAACCAACATAATCGTTCGCCGCGAGATATAACACCTAAAGCTTTAATCCCGAGTCGATAGAAAGACTTTTTCCTTGATATGGACAATTTTACGTAACATGACTTAAAGGTTAAAACGGAAATAACAAGTTACCTTGACGATGAATACAAATTGTCAAAGTCATAGTGTTATGGTCGAGTTGATAAGTCAAATTATGCTCAATGTAAACAATGTGACTAATATTTATTACATAATGCCGATATCTATAGACAAAAAACTAAAGACATAATTTTTCTGAGATGGCAATTTTATTGAAATTTATTTGTAAAAAACTTGTCAATTGCTTCTACGAGCCCCGCGGTCTTGCAGCTCGAGACGGGTTGCGTCATTGTTGCGGTGGTTGCACCCTTTAAAACAGGTTCAGGTTGGTAGTCTTGCATCTCGAGGTGGGTTACGTCGTGGCTGAGTATTTGCCACAGTTGCTCTTAATATTGAAGCGAATATAATTAAATATATAACTTACGATAAAGAAGACATTACTGATCAAAACTTACTGGCTCCTTGGATCGATCGAGGGTTGCTGGATCGAGGCGTCCGACAGTAGCGGTGGTTGAGGTACTAATTAAGGAAAGAAATTACTTTAGTCAAAAAGGTATTATCAATAAATAGATTTTTGTTTATTTACCTTGGAGCCCCCGAACCACAGCTCCTCTTCGCCCTGGTCTCCTAGGCGGGTAAATAGCAGACGGAGGCAGAAAAGGAGATGCCTCTATTTAAAAAAGAAAATTTACTTTTAGTCGAAAGAATATTACAAATACAGAAATCGTGTTTATTGTTTATTTACTTACTTGGGTTCCAAATTTCTACCCAGGGCTTTCTCGCGGGCAGGTTTCTAGGCTGTATCCTATTCATTGAATCAGCTGCCCTCGTAACCCACGATGGAGTCATGTCAGGGCGTGTATAGAGGCCCAAACCTGGCATCTCATGACATCGTTGATAGAAGATGCAGAAGCGGTATGAGCCTCATCTGCCCTTTCTTCTCGGCGTATCCGCCGCCACTGATGGTACCAGGGCGAGAGTTGTCTTCTGTCGTCCCACCTCGGCAGGTCTCGCCAGCGCTGAAAATCTTCGATGCGCCTCGTGTACTCTTGGCGTCGAGGGTTTTCGGGGCGGCGCTTCCGCCAGTCGCGGTATGCAAGGTGTAAACCTAATGTAGAAAAGATAAATAAAAAATAGTTGACTTAAATACAGGAACACATTGTTCTGAAAGAAGTACTATACTTGTAGATACACTACGTACGTATTACATCGATTTTTTTCAGAACAGCACATTATGTGCTTATTTGTTGTTGACTTAAAGGAAGCACTATATTTGTAAAGATGCTATTATTGCATCTTTGATTTGATAACAGAGCTTTGTGAGTCTTAAAAACCTTTCGGCGTTTTTTAGCTCAAGTTTGATTTCGCCAGTTTGCCGTTTATCTGTAATAATACTATTAATTTATCTTATAAGTAATCAATAGAAAAACCAAGGCCTCAACAGTAATATAATGCATACCCGTAAGCAATTTTAATACTTTCTTGCGGCAAATTTTCTATTTTGTAAGAATAGATGGTTGGTAATACCGGTTAGGTGACAACCCGTTAAAAAACAACTCGATACGGCCAGCGTATCAAAATATCGCTTCCAAAAGCAGCACTAGCTTGTTCTCCATCCCTCGCCAGCTGTGTTGCCACAATCAAACTTGGAACGGAGAAAGTCGTTGGAGCGCTGTTAGAAGTCATAGTGAAAGAGTAAAAAGCGTAAAGCGCGCTCTTTGTTTACAGGAGGTATTTATTAAAAAAATTTTGTTTTACGTGATATTCCGCAGTTCACATCCTATACCCGATTAATCTTCACCACTAATGGAACAATATAAAAAATCACCCCTTTGTAGTCGCTGGTATTGTATAATATTCAAAGTTTATATTTCCATATTCAGCATAAAGTGACCGAAAGATGCGTGTATAATTACATGATTGTTGCATTAAAAATTATCACACATTCATTCTCCTCATTAATCAAAGTATGTAGAAGCTTATTTAAAAAAAGACCTCCATAATAAACGTGAAATTTGTGAATATGTTAAACAACATCCAAAGCAAAGTATAGTGAACTAGTTAATGAGAAATTCATACTTTCTATAGAGTATCAGTTTTGCCTGGCCCGACGGTGTGACTGTGGGGGAGGTCGTATGGTAATTGAGGGAGAAAAAATTATTCTATTGTTCGCATATAATAGCGGAATATTAATATCAAACAAGAGCACAATGAGTTGTGCTCCCATCACGAAACGTTCCTTAAAATTATGTTGGAATATAAAAAAAAGAGAGAATATAATAATAAACTCGATAGAATATAAGCCGGCTTTTACTTCGGTTTGTTGCCATTATTTAAGTTTAATCTTACAATCCCATGAGCGCAAAGTAAGGAGGAGCGTGTCTCTCGATACACTCTTTTAACCTCGAATCCGCTAACGAGAATTTCAACATTAGCGTTCCAATAGCGGCAGCAACCGGTAATACAGCAGTTAAGAACTATGATATCAGATTCTCTTTACCAATGCAATAATCAGCTTGCAACACACACTTTTTTATGCTGCTTTAGGCTTAACCCTTCCTCACTACATTTCGCTTGAGAATTACCTAAATATTCTTGACCTGGACTGGATGTGGTCAAGGCAATACTAATGCAGGATGTGGCAGTTTTAATTCAACATCTGTACAAACATCTTTTGAAGAATGTTTAGGGACATGTGTTGTGCTGGGAAACATCTTTCATTGAGAATTTGCAGATACAATAATGTACACATCCCGCCATTCGTTTTCGGGGAGACTGTAATTAGAAGCGGAAGGGGACAATTTAGACAACACTACAGAGCTTTCTCATATCGAGTTGAAACAATTGGAAATAAGTGGTTTAGTATACTGACAGTTGTGTAGTTATATACAGTAAATATGTTCACGTGATCGGCACCTAAATACTTTAACCATTTTCGTACCACATTTGGGTTTATAACCATCATCTCTTTCAGATCGGCTAAACGCCTATATAATAAAACCTAAGTACGGTGACCGCACACACACACTCTCACTCACACTAGAAAGTTTTAACCAACATAAATCATGGGTAATGACGGAGGCTCAATCCCTAAGCGCATAGAGCTGGTTAAGGAAAAGAAAAAGGAAGTTCGTCCGGATCAAACAGCTTTAAAGATTGCGATCTGGTTTTTCTGTGCCCTGTCCAAGGTGTGTATTACATTTAATTTAATGGTCTTGCAGAATGTATGTATTGTTTCCTTTGGCTTTCATGACACTCACATTCGTTGTACCCATTTCGCACTCAAGAGTCTACTACAAGATCCTGTGGTAATATGTGCTCTTGGAAAGCTATATAATAAAGACGCTGTTTTAGAGTTCCTGCTGAACAAAGAGGCATACGGTGATGGCGACATGATCTGTTCTCACATTACAAGCATTAAGGTATTTGCATACTTCCATACCCTTCTTTCTCCCACTAAATGCTTTCAATTGCAAGTTGCATGCGTTATTTACCAGGCTCTCTCAATAGGATGTAAAAACACTGACATTAACACCGAACCCAGCATACAAAGAAACACAAATTTCTACGCTTGCTCAGTCAAATCAGGGAATGGTGTCTCGTTTTGTTTGTCCTATTTCAATGAAAGAAATGAATGGAAAGTCTAAATTTGTATATCTTGACACTTGTGGATGTGTTTTCTCTGAACAGGGACTCAAACGAGTACCAGCGGGTGTATGCGTTAAGGTAAGGATCGAAACTATTTATTCTAAAATTCGATATTATCAACAAGATCTGCTCCATGATAGGATAAGCTTTTCTAAGTCTACAGCTTTTCCAACTAGTGTTCAAAACCATACAAACCAGAGAACATACGACAAATCAATCCTAGCCAAGAAGAACAGGAAAAGCTCAAAGCAGAGCTTGCCGAGAAAAGAGCAAAAGCTAAAGAAAGGAAGGAAAAGAAGGAAAGAAAGAAACAGAAAGGGAAACTCAAAGAAGCAAATGGAGAGAATTCGACTGTTTTGAGTGAAAATGTCGGAACTAAACGTAAACTAGAAGATGACATGGAGGCTTCATCTCAGATAACCAAGAAACTCGCCATTGAACCATCTTCCAATAGTGTCAACATATCATCAACATCTGCTGCTGCAGCTGTAAACCAAAGAGTCAAGGAACATTTAGTAAGTCGTAACAACAAAAAGAAATCCGAAGCAATAAGATCGATTTATAAAGAGAAGAAGGATAAGGACGTCACAGAAAGTTATTTAGTTAGGGGGACATTCAACCGCTATGCTGCTTGATGTAAGCGAAGTTAGAACTTTGTAAGCAGCAGGGATTGCCATATTTATAGATAATCGGAACAAGTCATTTCTTTAGATCGTCGAGCCATTCCCTTGTTCGTACCTTAGCTACCTATAGCAGATAATCGTATACATATTTATTTTGCTATTGAACATAATGCTTACTAGTCTCGCCCCGCTCCTCCCTCCCCCTCTTCTCTTCAAATAATCTATTCCTATTTCATCCGTTCGTTATATAAAGTCAGAAAATACCTCTGAATCGTTTGTCACGACAGCACCAATTTCATCAAGAATAACTTGCGACGCCTTTCTTTTAATAAAATAATCATGAACATCATCGACATTTTGATGAACAAGGTACTGTCCTATGTCTGGTTCGTCAACATTCTCCTTGAGCTGTCTTACTGTTTGTAAAAGCGATTCGTTTTCTTTCTCTAATGCTTTAATACGTTCGTTGAGAGATTGATGTGCCACATAGGTCTTGCCAAGTTCTTCTACAAGTAGTTCGCAGTATGTTTCCGCCTTTTGTCGATCATCGGTGAATGTCGATGTGGACCGTAGCGGATTTACGTTGCTTTTCAACACGTCGAAGAGCTCTTGGTTCTGGGCAAGTGCAGCATTGTCTGTTGCGTTGTAATCCAAGATTTGTGAGCTATCTTGCTCTTGACAGAGCGCAGCATTCTTTACCGCACTGCAATCCGAGACGCGCGCATTCCATTGTTTTTGATTAACTTGCGCTGACTCCTTTGACTCTGAACGTCTCGAAAGACGATTCCAGAACGATACAATGAAAGCATATGTTGTTAGAGACGATATTGCAATTATGTACAAGGTCGGCTGGTTCAGTTGCCCCCAGTCAAATCTTATGGATAATGCTTCTGCGTATGACATTAGTGGAATTAGACCTAGAAATGATGTATCGTTATAGAAAACCTGCATATTTTGTTATGGTAATCAGAAATTGACGCGTCTTAGGGGTCCTCTAATTTTAGGATATGTCGATCAGCCAATAGAATTTGTTGACATATCAATATATTATTGAAATTGGTTGGAGGTTTTTTTTCCTGCAATAACGATGGGCGACGATTTCTATGTACGATATTAGTATGTATAACCAACCTATGAAGTAAAATCTAGTGAACAGTAATCAATAGACAGACTAGTTCCGATCAGCGATCTCTAAACGCATGCCAAACGATCTCTAACTTACGTTCTGGAAACAGCACAGGTCACATGGGCCGATATGGTCACGAATTCTTGGAGTTTGAGTTCAGATCTGATGGTCGCTGTCGTTATGCAAACAACTCAAATTATCGTAATGACAGTCTGATACGGAAAGAAAGTACGTTTGATGTTGTCTCTGTTATTTGCTTTTACTTTGTTTACTGTTCTCATGTATCATTTCTGCGCTTGCCTAGTGTACGTCAGCCCGTTAATGATGAGAGAGCTTAAACGTATAATTATGGAGAGCGAAATATTAAAGTACGTATAATAGTTGTTGGTGTTTTACGTTATAGACAATTCAGTCCGGGCATTGATTCATCCCGTCTGAAAATGACAGGGAAGATGATGCTCGCTGGCCGAAGAAGAACGTTGTTGGAAGGCAAGAGCTTGAGATTCGTTTGGCGAGCGATCACATATCTTTTGAGGTTTGTTTCTGAAGATTACCCCCTTTGTTCATGATCCTAAGCTATCTGATTAACAAGCTTTTCGTGGTGAATTATATTTATTTCCAGACTGCAAAGATTGGATCACTGGTAGACGTTCAAGAGAGTGGGGATCCTGAGGGTCTTCGTGTTTTCTATTATCTTGTGCAAGATCTCAAGTGTTTGGTGTTTTCATTAATTGGATTGCATTTTAAGGTAAACTCTACGTTGATGCTCTCTGAATAGTCATTTTCTGGTTTTAACGTTTCTCACTTTCCTGTTTATTAGATCAAACCAATTTAATGACATATCAGATATTATTTAGTAAATAAATTCCGTTCCAGAGAAAGAGTCCGTTTTATTGACAGTCCGTTACGATGGTCCGCTTTCACTGTGTATATAGTATATACTGTCTTCGGTTTAATGTGAAATTGGTTATACAATGACGTTGCGCGTTTGGCCTTTTCTACGGACTCATCTAAGCGTCGAATTATATATTGCGTATACATTCTACATCATTTTCTGTTGTAAAATCTCTTTGTTCTAAGAATATCAATATGAAGAGGAAATCCGCCCCGTTTCACAGGGGTTGGAGGTATGACTGTATTTATTTATAATTTACCATTTTTACTACGTTAAGTTGTAAATTACGTCGTGTTATGTTATGCATTCATTACAAGCTGGCTAAGTTGTAAATTACGTCGTGTTATGTTATGCATTCATTACAAGCTGGCTAAGTTGTAAATGACTTTGTAAAAATTATCTATAATATTACTACATGCAAGGAATGATCCGACATGGCAACGATGCATTGGTCCCAACACTGCTCGAGCCATGTGTACATGATCACATTATCGCTCAACAGCTTAAGACCGCGAGTATCTCCCGTGTCATGTAGTAATTTATACAGAATAATACGCAAGTAAAACTTGTGGATTCTGTGGTTATATTCATTGGATTCAAGATGGTTTGTTTTCCCCAATGCAAAACAAACCTTGATACAGATATTAATGGTTTCTTCTTCGACATCTTACAAGAAAGGAGTCAGCTTAGGAGCTATTCCTTGTTATTACCTAATATAGATTGCTTAATATGGAGTTTATTAGTAACGTGGTAAAATAATTAACATGTTCGATAATCGGATACTGATATTGTTGACCAATCAGACGATGTGAGCGCGTGCACGGAATGTCAAGCTCAGATATTAGTTACCTTGTCTATTCACCTAATATCGGTTTCCCGCTTTCACATAGACGTTAGCAGTATGGCTTGTACTGAGAACCCAAGCAACTAGCAAATTCAGTAGCGGAATGTCCCAGGTATGACTTGTAAAATAAGTAATTAGCACCGTATGGCTCGGCTCAAAGAAAATTTCCTCTGTTAAGCAATATTCCTAAAGTAAAAAGAACTTATGGTAAACGCAAATTAATATCAAGCGAGAATTACGCGAATACTGATAAAAGGATCAGACAATCAAGCCATCTTCTACTTTGCGTCCTATCGAAAGTAATGCTAAAAAGAAATACGTACAATTGTTCCTCGATGCTGGACAGAATAACATTGGTCCAAGGAGTGTCATATGTCTTATAATAAAGGAACAGAAGATGATCTGATTCATGCAAAGTTTCATAAAGCTAGTGTTGGAAGCATTGATTATCCGGTGAGTTGCGTGGTGGTGCAAATGAACACGAGATATTGGATGCTAATACACATCATATAATAGGGATATAAGAATGAAGTTATGTTGCAAATTTATCCTGAAGACAACGGTAGTTGCATTGTAATGTTTAGTAATAATAAATACAGTGGGTTCGAGAGGCGTAAGGTAAGCCATTTCAGAGTACATGCTTTGGATACCGTATAACAATTGCCGTGATCACCGACATGTTTTCTTTTCGTTCTATACAAGCTGTTTGAAATATTAGACATAATTACTAGAGAATTAGGGTCAGTTGAAATACGCGAAGATAAGCTACTTTCGTCCAAGATATTCCTCTACGTCACCAGCAAGAAGAAAGTCGTCGGATGCGTTATAGCCGAACAAATCAAACAAGCATACAGAGCCACGCGTAGAACAGCGAGTAGTCATGCTAATGAACAGCTTGGAGATTTTTATGATGCATCTGTTGTATTCTACAGGTGAATAATATTTAATGCCCGAGTATGAGATGACGTACCGCTAACCAAAATGTTCAATGCCAGGACGAAACCAATACAAGCAATCTGTGGTATCAGCCGCATATGGGTCTCCCGACAGTATCGTCGTAGAGGAATAGCAACAAAGCTATTGGATCTTGTCAGGTTGTCTTTTGCAAACGTCTATTGCATCAAATAGAGATGCCTCATGTGGTACTGACACCCTAGCATTTATTATTAGAAAGAATTATATTTATGGATGTTGTCTTGATCGATCGGCGATTGCATTCTCGCAACCGACAGGAGATGGGAAAGCGCTAGCCACTAGTTACACTGGCACTAGCGAATTCCTTGTATATACAGAAGTATGAGAGTAATATGGGTATTATGAAAGTAATAATTTTCGTTCTTTATTATTAAGTCAATTATGTAATACAACGCGCGCGCATATAACACATATACAAATAATAATGTGTCATGCACGCTATATTCAATTTTCACGCTTATTCGAAGGATACG